CCGCGTTATGAAAGTGTCCATAAACAATTTTTAAGTCAAATGCAAGTGTTGTTAAGTACCTAGAATTCAATAATAATTTGTTGTTTGTTGGTTTTAGATGTGTAGAAAGTGTTATTTGAGCAAATGTTTGGTTTCTGCAGGTTAATCCTGAAGTGAGCTGCGTGAAATTGATGTATGGGTGCATAAACAACTGTCTGGGGTACACTTTTTTTGATTGTTTAATTGATTCTTAAAAGTTTGATTTGTTTAATTGATGAGGAAAATAAGAATTATTATCATTTTTTGCTTGTTTAATTGATTTGTAAAAGTTGATTTGTTTAATATTGATGTGTAAATAATTCTTATTTGTGCTTGTTTAATTGATTGAAATGTAAAAGTTGATTTGTTGATTTCAATCTGCATCATATTGAAGGCAAAAGACCTGTTGAAGGTACACTTTCGTAACGCTAAACTCAAAATCGCAATGCGAAAGCCAAAATCACAACGCGAAAGTCACAACTAAAAAGACCTGTTGATTTGTTTAATTCACGTTACGATAGTCAAATTCGCGTTGCAATAGTCAAATTCGCGTTGCGATTTTTGCGTTGCGATAGTCATATTCGCGTTGCGATTTTTTGAGTTGCGATAATCAAATTCGCGTTGCGATAGTCAAATTCGCGTTGCGATATTCAAATGAATGTGTAATAAGTGATAACAATTGAACAGATCATAGCAATGTTCAAACTCAAGTTACTAATAAATGCCTAACTGAAAATGTTAAAAGTTTACACATAAAATACACATAATACAACGTTTGCATTTAAAAATCACCTAAGTTAATAGTCCCAAAAGGTGAAGCCGGTTGTGATTGGGATTTTGATTTTGATTGCCTTTTTCTTGACACCATATGAGTTTTGGATTTTGATGAGGATCCATATTTTGGTAGAGGAAAATATGATTGTGATGGCACTGGTGATCCACATGTCAACCTTGTATGACCACTTTCCTTGCACCGACTACATGTCGATCTCTTCTTCTCTTCACCCTTAGACGGTATACGATCGTGAGTTTTTGGTCGGCCAGGTAGCCTTCTGTCCATGGCTGGTGGCAAAACTGTTTGTAAATCATCTGGTATGTCCCACTCAGAAGGATGTGGAATAGGGTAGATAATCTCGGCATAAGTCTGTCGATATACTTCTGTATTGTAGCAATCTATAGCGTATGCGCTTGAATCATCTTGGTTTAGATGAAGAGCAACTTTTATAACATGGCCATACGGATAACCAGATGTTTTCCATTTCATACAACTACACGTCTTTGCATTTAGATCGACAAGCCCATTTAAGTTATTATCCAGTACTTCAAACAAAGTGTTTGAACATGGTTCAACTCTCCATGACATTGACTTCACAACACGTTTCGTTATCTTTTTTTCAGTCCATGGTGTAACACGATGTTCCAATGCTCCTGTAAATTTAAATAAATAATACTTAGTAAAATATATAATAAGTTACGAATTTAAAGAAATAATACCTGCATGGTTTCTTTTCTTGTAGTATCACTGTTGAATAGAGGCTCGAAAAAACTCCATTAACATAGTAATGGGTAATTTCCGGGAATGACGACTTAGAGCGTTGATTGATTCTGCACTATTAGACGTCATGAAACCATATCTTGCTCCAAGTTGATGTACTCTTGACCATCTTTCAAACCCGACATCTTCTAGTGTTTGAGCACACTGAGGCAATCCTTCTAACAGCGTTTTCAATTGAGTTTGCCCTATCGGATATGATTGTCAGATTGCTAATAGGACCTATGCAATCCCTAAGATGCCCCATAAACCATATCTATGAATCAGAGGTTTCAGATTTGCCAACCCCGTAAGCTATTGGCAGTATCCCATTGTTAGCATACATGGCTACTGCTAATAAGTTTACTCCAAGGTATCGACCTTTTAAATGTGCTCCGTCAACTATAATAATTGGGCGCATGCAAGTAATAAACGAACGAATCTACAAAATCATATACACCAGAAATATAATCATTTAAATGTGAAATGCATGTAACTAACAAAAAAGAGTCAACAAAATTATATTGATTTACTAACCGCAACACCAATGGCGATAAACAGCAACTCAAAGCGTCCATCTCTATCTGTTTTGATATGAGTTACCGACCCAGGATTTTTCAGCTTTAAATTGTGACAATAAGCCGGCAGTTGGGCAAACGATGCTTCTGGCGACCCCCTCAACAATTCCAAGGCATAACATTTGGCTCTCCAAGCTTGAGAATATGAGATACTAATCTTGAACCGAGCATTCATGTCAGTCATAATTTCATGTCCCCGATATACTCTGTCATTCAAAAACATTAACTCAGCCAGAAAACCACCCAACACCTTTTTGTTTGCCTGTCTATGGTGAGGAAAAACTTGGGTTCTTGAACATGTATGTTTATCAATAAAAGTCCTAACTTGAAACATTTCACAATCTTTTATCCTCTTTGCAATCATACGCCACGTACAGTTTTTGTCAATCATACACCTTATTTCGAAACGATCTTTGCTTGATTTGTTAACTTTTAGTTGATAGCCATCTTCCACACATTTCGTATACAAAGCTATCTTCAAGTCTTCCTTTGTATCAAAACAATCATCTTTCTTGATACGAATAATTTTTGTGTAACAATCAACTGCTATTTTTACCAACTCTTCTTCCGGTATCTGAAGTAATTCTGGCATATTCCAGTTATACTCCCGTGACATTTTCTTCGGGGACTTTTCTTCGGGGATTTATTCTTCTCCTTTTTCTTCTTCAGGGTTATATAAATTACAGAATGGATGTTCAACATGTTCATTCACAGTCGTAACTTCCTCCTCATTATCATCAACAACATCTTCCTCGGCAGCGGCTGTTTCATCATCAAAATTCGGGTATTGACCAATATCAAAATCATTACACGCAGGGTCTGTTTCTTCTTCTGAAACATCATCAAAATCCGAGTATTGACCAAGATCAAAGTCCGGGTATTGACGAATATCAAATTTCAAATACCGACTAGTACTCACAATTTTTCTGTTGGCTCATCATCATCTAACTGGTTAATACGAAAACCGGAATTTGGTGTTGAAAGTTGATTGGGATTTGGATTAGGGAAAGGTTGTGGGTTTTGAGATTGTGTTTGGTATTGGAAATGTGGTGAAACAAAATTTGCTTGGTGATGAAATTGTGGTGGAACCATTAAATTTTGAGCACCATAAATTGGGGTTGAAAAACTTAGTTGATTACTACCCGCTACTGACCCAACTTCACTACTTCTAGGTTCAACAACATACAATGTAACATCATCTTGCGAAACACTAATGTAAGCAATGAATCGTTCAACATCTTCATTGTCGGTTAACAAATAAACTTTACATTTTCTCTGATAAATGGTTGTCCCTTGTTCCCATATGTAATGGGGTAAGGGGAGGTAAGATAGTAGGCAGCTTCCGTAGGAGACCTCCAAATTATGAAATGCCCTCCATGGGACTCGATCCCACGACCTCAAGGTTAAGAACCTTGTGCTCTACCAACTGAGCTGGATGGTCATTTTCATAAGGTTAAGACATTTTCTCTGATAAGATAGCCTAAATCCACTTAAGGGCTCTAAATTCAATTTATTTGCAATACGTAACATTAGAGTTTCATAAGTTAACTTTTTTAATGACAGTTTTAGTTGAAGATTCATGGGTAAAGGCATATATTGTAAAACACCATGAACATTCTCCCATGACCCTCCAAAACACAAATCTATCCAAACATGATCAACATTAGATGATTTCATTATTGTAAATTAATTTACTAAACAAACAAGCTGCGAAACTAAAACCTGTTGCCGGATGGGGAAGGATGTCGTTGGATATAGGAACGGATGTCGTCGGAGAGGGTGATAGATGGAGATGGAATGAGTTGCGATTTAGGGATTTAGGTTATGAGTTGCTTTTGTTGCGTAGTTATATACCCAAACATTTGTGTTATGAAACTAAAACCTGTTACGAATTTGAAATTCAGTGTTGCGACAGTCAGAATCGCGTTGCGATTATGTATTATCGTGTTGCGATAGTCAGAATCACGTTGCGATTTACATATTCGCATTGCGATAGTCAAAATTGCGTTGCGAATCTGGAAATTGATTTGCGATACTGGAGATCGTGTTGCGATTTAGAGATCGCATTGCGATTTTGTTGGTCATTTTGGCAAATCGAAAAAAAGTTGGTCAAAATCGTATATTATAAGGAATTTTCGGTCACTGAGGTTATTTTCTCTTAAAAAAATTATGAACGGAAGAGATTCAGATGTTATTCGAATAAGTGTGTAAATGAACAGAACGTTTGATAAAATGTTTGTGAACTATTCGTTTGTATTTGTTTGCTATGTTAAATAAATGAGTATAAACAAAACTTTTATGTTCGTTTAATAAACGGAAGAAAACCAATAGTGGTTCGTTGATTCATTTATGTTTATAAAGGAGCTTGTTGTTTGTTGACTTGTTTATTAGTTTGTTTACCTGGTTCTCTCTTATTTTATTTTATTTTACATTTTAAATATTGAAAGTGTGTACTAAATTGAACATATAGTGAACTTTAGAGATCAAATTATGAAGCCTAAGGAACTTAAAAATTATTGGTGCAATTTCATCATTTTTTTAAATATTTATAAACATACTAATAAATATGTTCGTAAACGTTAAACGAATCGAACATAAACAACTTAAAAAATAAACAAATGCAAACACGATAATGTATGATGCAAATCGAATATAAATACCTTAAAAAATAAACCAATGAAGTTAACTTTACTCGTCATTTTCAACCCTACGTTGGAGTAATGGTTTCCTTTTTAGCTTGTCCTTTGGGCTTTCTGATAAATTGCATGGGCCTTAGTTCTGGGGTCATGTATGAAAGGATAAACCACATCGAGGAATACGTAAGCAAGGACGATCTCATCGGTCAGATCAAAAGCCTCCCTGAATCATACGTGGCCCAACAAGTTACGACCGGCTGTTGTCCACTTGTTTCGCGACTTTCTTCTTGTTGCTTCCATTCTTCAAAAAGGGTTTTGGCTGTGCATATTCATCTTTGATCTCTGCTTCCAGCTGGAAAAAACAATCTTCCAGGGTTGTTTCTCGTCACAGGTGAGAAAATTTAACATCTTTTGCTTCCTCTAGAAAATACTCTGTTTTGAACCTTTGTGTTCTCGAATCTGAAAATTTGAGATTTTTATCATGCCAATAATATGTTTCATTTCAACCCCAACATCATAATCGGTCAGATCTTTTGTTGTCTAATTGTAAAATCATGTTTGCTTGTTCACCAGAGCTCATCAAAGATTGAACTTTTGCTGTCTATGCTTAAACATATGTTGATTCTTTTGGTGTTCTTTCTTTTTTCTATGGGATTTTGATATACTTATAGACTAAAAAACCCCAATTGTGAGAACTGAAACCATGATTTTGGTGCAGCAAAATGGGGTTCTGGACATTTCTTGAAGGTTTACTGCTCTTTGCCAATGCATTAGCGATTCTGAATGAAGATAGGTTCCTGGGTCCAAGAAGATGGACTTTGGCAGAATTTCAAAGAGGGAGAAGAAATACACTAAAGGGACGGATAATTGGACTCGTACATGCTTGCCAATTCCTAAGACTGCCACTTATACTGTTCAATATCATCACCATTGTAATCAAGTTGTTCACCGGTTAAGCCACTTATCATGTATGTACAATACTCGGAAATAGTAGAATAAGAGAGAACTCATGTTCTGGTGACACCATTTTTGTAGCTTAAGCAAAATCAAATGTCTTGATACACTGACAAATGCTTATAATTGTAAGAAAAAGAACAGTTAAACAGACATTTACTCGACTGGTAACATGACTTCATTAGTCCTAAGATGTGGTATAGTCCATGGAGGATTATACCTAGCCAACAAGTGCTGGCCAGTCACCTTATGTCCATCTCTCTCCAAGCTCTTCTTCAGATTCTCCACCTTCTCTTCCACCACCTTATCCGTCGCCACTCCGGCGAACTTCACCACCCCATAATTCCTCTCACCTTCCTCCTTTATCACCACCCTCTCATCCAACGGCTTAGGCGCCTCCTCCGCACTCTTGTACTTAGCCGGCAACAGGAACTGCATGGTGACCGTGTTGTTGTCGTCACCCTTCGTCACCACGGGAGCAGTCATGGCAATCTTTTCACTGTCGGACGATTTAGTTATCACCGGAGCCGTCATTGCAATCTTTTCCGGTTTGGAATTCTGGGGATTGCCTAAAGCGCCGATGTAGTTCGCCAACAAGGTAAAGCCGCCGTCTTTGTTCCCCTTGAACTGCGATGGATCGTATGTGACTTGTGCCGCAACTGAAGGTGGGTACTTTCGGATTTCGTATTCGGCAGTGGATTGAACCACCTCGTATTTTGGGGTTTCCACTGCGATTTTGCCGAAAATCAGACCCATGTTGGAGAAAAACAAGTTGTGGTTTGGAAAAAAAAAGGTTTGAGCTTGAATTGAAGGGTTCAAGGGGAAACCTTTTATAATAAGAAATAAGTGAAGGAAGTGTTGGATTTGCCCTCTTAAATCTTAATTTCTAGATTGTTCAACCGAGTGCTTATTTTGTCGTAATGCCATTGCTTGGGGTAGGAGTAAAGACTTCATACGCCTGTGTTACTGGGTTTTGTGGCTCCAATTTGGAGATGACTCGGTGGACTTCATTTATCCACGACCTCTATGTCAGTGAAGAATGAGCCCTTGTCTTTAATGGTAATAAAGAATAGTATTCTTTTTAAAGGATCCGAGTATAGGGGTTATAAACGGACCGAACGAATATAAATTAGGATATATTTATGTTTGTTCGTTTAATTTTAATCACATAAACAAACGAACACGAATAACTAAACGAACGGAATTTATTGGTCGTGCTCATCCATTAAGAAATTTAGATTGTTCATATTCGTTCATTAAAATAATAAATGAACACAAACTAATGAATGTAAACGAATACAAACGAACATAAAATTAATTGGTTTATATTTGAGAAAAGTTTTTTTCTTTTCAAATAATTTTAGGATTTATATTTTCTTTAATTGATTTGAGTATTTTTTTTATTTGGGTTTAAAATTAATTGAATTTATATTAATATTTTTAAGGTTAAAATTTATTAACTCAACAAACATAAACGAACCGACATAAAGAACTAACATAAACGAACGCATTATCAAATGTCCACAAACGTAAATGAATGAAAGAACCTTTTGTATGTGTATGTTAATTTAACTAAACGAACATAAAATCTTTTCATGTTCGTTCGTTAATAAATACAAAGACATAACACAAACGGTTCATTGAACGGTGGATTCGTTTACAGGCCTATACGAGTTCAAACAATTATATTATAACTTTAGGTAGTGATATCACAATAATTAAAAAATATTTCGAATAAATATCATTTCCTTATTTTTTTTATAAAATTTAAAATTAAAATTAAAATTATCATTGATTTAAATACCTTAACATTCGGTTTAGTGATATATCTCAACAATGTTGAGTTTTAGAGCCAAGGACCCAAAAACCTTGGACTTATTCAGGTCCATAACACATTTCAAACAAGGTGGATAAAACCCATAGATTTATAGGGCTTATTCTGAAAGATCCTAGGGTTTGGTTATATATAAGCGGCAGCAAACACCGCCTCTGTCGGTGTCGGAGTACCTAGGGCAACCAATGTTCCATTCCCCCCCCCCCTCTAAAGCTATCTCAGTTTTCATGTTCAGTTGATCTATGTTCTCTTGTTTTTCATTTATTGGAAAAAAGGGGCACCAATGATGAGATGATTAAATTGTTATCCTTGCACTTTGATTGTCAGTGAAGAAACAAAGTGGGCGTTTTATATCTGAGATGCTTCGTTTTCAACTCTCTTCAAATTCTGGATTTTTTTGGCTTCTTGCTGAATTAACTGGTTCAAAAATTGCATCCCCATAGTTGTTAATCTATGCTTTCATTGGATCCATGATGTTATTTTATAAACTGCGTTATCTATCTGAACTTTCCCTTGAAGGGGGTTGAAGATAATTTTCCATACTGAGATCCTGTCTTGTTTTTGTAACATGTCCATTGCTTGTCTGGTCTCGTTAAGGTAGAGATTTCATTTGTCTTGCAAGATTTGGGGTAGTTCCATTAACAATGGGGCTGACACTCAACACGATATATGTAATTGGATAGCTGATCAATGGATAATATTAAGGATGCCTTAGGTTCACATAATGTAAGATTACCGGTTACCGGTTGAAATAAAAGATTACCAGATAATATGATTACTGGGAATGTTGTATTTTGTGTTTTGTTGATTTAGCAGGAATGTTAAATTACCGTGTTTGGTTAAAGGAATAAAAGATTATTTTAATGTATATTTTATCAAATTGTCATTATTATATATTTGTTTTTATAACAATTTGGAAAATATTTATATATTTTCTTTAAAAAATTTAAATTCATAAAATTTATATATTTTTACAAAATTAAAAATATAAATTTTTTTAATGAAATGGTAAAATTTTACTTTAACTCCTGAATTTTATATAAAATTTTAATTACATATTTTTTTTGTAAATTTAAAATAGTTTAAGGATAAATTTATAATTTAACTTTCGTAGAATTTGTATTATTCAATGACAGAATAAAGATATTTTTGAAAGAAAAAAAAAATTAAGGGCATTTTAGTCCAAAATGTCGGTAATCCAACAATACCTAAGAAAAGAGAGGTAATGACATTCTCGGTAATATACCCTAAAAAATTCATTATTGGTAATGTAAGATTACCGAGAATGACATTCTCAGCCAACCAAACGGAGAAATGTGAGATTCCCAGCAAACACGCCTTAAACATAATGTAATGTACTTCTAACTCTTTTAGGTTGCACTATATGGGTACGAGATTAGGGATGAGAATGGGTCGGGTTGGGTTGGGTTAGATTTTTTGTCCACCCGAAATCTGACCTGACATGCATGAAACAAGATTTCACTCGACCCAACTTTAACCCAATAAAAAAATAACTGACCATTATTCCCATATGTAATGGGGTAAGGAAGAGGTAAGATAGTAGGCTGCCCCCAACGCCAGGTTGAGAGCAACTTCCGTAGGAGACCTCCGAATTATGAAATGCCCTCCGTGATACTCGATCCCACGACCCCAAGGTTAAGAGCATTGTGCTCTACCAACTGAGTTGGATGATCATTTCAATCTGACCCAATATATAACTTAAAAATTTGACTCTACCCGAAATAATATAAAAATATTATTTTTATTCAATAAAAACAATGATTTAATTTAAAAAAACAATATATAGAGAGATATTATTTTAATTATTTTTAAATATAAAAGGTAAAATTATTTTTTAGGGGTCGAGTCGGATATTTTTCATCCTCAACCCGACCCGATCTGAACATCACATTTAAAAAATCCAACTCGACCTAACCCAAACCGAAATTAAAAAAAAAACAAACCCGGTCGGATCAAAATCCGTCGAGTTTGAGTCCTATGTTCATCCCTATTCGGAATGGATATAAGAATGAGAAATGATAATTTCTAAAATCACAGCGTGCAACATGAGTACGTTAAATATATAATGAATCTTAAAATTTTAAAAGATATAAAAATGTCATAAATATTCGTTATAATTCATAATGATTGAAATTTTTATACAAGAGATTGAGATTACGGTTAAGGGTGTTCAATCGGTTAAAAAGGTGGTCTATCGAACCGAATTATTATTAACTGAATTAATCATAAGTTTTTTAAATGTTAACCGAACTGATTTTTTTGAAAATATTAATCGAACCGAATAAATTTTGGTTAATTCGATTAATTTTTTAATTAACTGATTTTTTAATTTTCTAATTTATATAAAAATTGAATTTTTTTAATTCAAAAAAATAATTTACAATTAATTTAAATAATATATAATTATAAAATAAAATCTTTATATGGGGTTTTTAATTAATTAATATTGATTTAGGTTTAAAAGTTATTGGATATTAAATTATTAATTGAGTTTTAAATTATTTGGGTTGCACTCATATGTTATATATTATATATTTAAAATTTAAAATTTAATTTCGGTTAATTAACTGATTTCGAACCGAATTAACCGTTAACCGAATTCTAAAAAAATATTAACCGTTTCACGACCGAACTAATTCGATGATCGATCGAATTAACCGAACTAATTCGATTCGGTCGGTTAATTAGATTAAAACCAAAAAAATGAACACCCTTAATTATGGTAGTTGTAAATTGAATCATCAATACAATAAACTTAAAATTATACGTTTACTCATTGAATTTTATTATTTATTTTATTTTATTCATCATATTTTTAATTTTTTTAATTTATTCATTGAATTATAGATGTTAATTTTTTTCTCATCAATCTCATTTTCTTCCCCTCATCCAACTAATACCATATTCTCCGACACCGTCATTTCCTCTCCCTCTTTCTTCTCATTATCTCGGGAATTTGACATAACAGACACCAATTTTCTTTAATATTCCCTTTCTGACACCGTTTGACCAATATTTCCCGAAGTAGCACCCTTTCAGCTGAGTTGGCAAAGGCGCGTCCCCGGGGACGCGCTTTACCCGTGTTTTCGCTGAGTTGAATGCCACGTGTGGAAGGCGCATCCCCGAGGACGCGCCTTTCGCCAGCTCGACTGTCACGTATTTTGTTTAATAATAAATATTTTATTTTTATTATTATTATAAATTAATAATAT